AACAGTCAAGTTGTATTAAGTTAAGTTATTAAGTTCTAACAAACATGTGGAAAGCATTTTCTTTCCCATTAATGGTAAATGAATATTGTGATGAATATAGATATCGCATGATATGGAAGAAAAACATTGTGATAATAAAGTTCAGCCCTAGAGGAAAGTTTAACAAGCAAACATTTAAACAAATCTGACTGTCTCTGGCAGGTCCACACAGATTAAGACGTACTCATGGGATAACGCCCAGGTGCTGCTAGTGGGCAACAAGTGTGACATGGACGATGAGAGGGTGGTGGCCTCTGAGAGGGGACGACAGCTCTCCGAGCATCTCGGTAAGTCGTGTTTGCCGGTTGGCACAATATATTTGGATATTCACAGCAATAGTTTCAAATATACTTTCAGATATGAGCCTCATATTTAAGGAAATATCCATTTGCTGATAGATACCATATTTTGCAAAATATATGTCATGTTTTTCATCATCTGAAAAGTCCTGGAACTTACACCGTATGGAAAAGTTTGGAATTTGACTTTAGTCATTTCTGTAGGTCTGGATAAGTATGGAAAGAAGAAAACGAGTATGGAAAACTATTTGTGTTTCTGGACTATTGGCCCTGTTCTTTTTTTCTAAACTGTGAAATTGAGAAATTCTAAAAATAAATTCACCATATAAGCAGAGTGTTTTGTATGCCGTTTGGAGCATGCAGTCAATGCAGCCAAATGTTTAGTGATAGTTTAACATGACTGAATGAATTCAAAACGCATATTATCATAACGCAAAACTGTCTTTATCATAAGCAAGTCTCTTCGCTAAAGCACAACCATTTAAATCAGACTGTACTTTGCTGTTTGGTGATCATGCAACAACAAACCAGGATTACAGTATCAAACCGCTATGTCAGAGGTAAATATAAAGCGTTTTAGGTTTATTCTCATCATGATATAGCTTCGAGAAAATCAATGCATATGGTGAACATGTGAGATTGAATCTGCGATGTGCATGAGAAAATTAATATTTATTCATAGAGAATGTATGTTCTCTATTCTTATTTTATTCTATATTATTATAAAAAATAATAACTTCTATTTATTTTCTATCTACTTTTTATTCTTCTAATTGAAAAAAAAACACCTTGCTACGTGTACTGCGTAAGACTAACCGGGACTTGTCACAACACACATATATTTTGTTGCTCTTTTGTTGGTTTGATTGCTTCTATCGTCCTCATTTGAAAGTTGCTTTGGATAAAAGCGTCTGCTAATTGATTAAATGTAAATGGCATAATAGCATGCATAGTCACAAAGTGACATACATGTTAAAAGGTGGATAAAAGATTTGAAATATGGTCTGAAAATTTTACAAAGAAGTTTGAGTCTGGAAAAGTATGGACTTTTTTAAAATTTGATAAAAAAAATGATAAAATGTGTGAACATGCTGCTATTGTAGGCAGCTCATTGGGTTTTAGAACAAGGCCTTGGTCTTGACTTGGTTTCTTCTTTTATCCTCAGGTTTTGAGTTTTTTGAGGCCAGTGCCAAGGACAACATTAATGTTAAGCAAACCTTCGAGCGACTGGTAGACATAATTTGCGAGAAGATGTCAGAGAGCCTGGATGCCGCCGATCCTGCAGTGACGGGAGCCAAACAGGGGCCGCAGCTCACGGAGCAGCCCACCGCTCCACACCAGGACTGCGCCTGCTGAAAATCCCACGGCTCTATCTGCACTGCCTTGCACCAACACACAAAAACCACCCGTTTAGGTATTTAAAAAGAACAAGAAACATAAAACCCTCAGTTCCCATACTGCCTTCTCTGGCCACACCCTCTAGCCCCTCCCCTTCTTCTCCAAATAATCATTTTGACATCTCAAACTTTAATGATATTATTCAACATGCAATCCATTCCGTTTAAGCGCACTTTAAAGGGATAGTACACCTAAAAATGAAATTCTGTCATTATTTGCTCACCCTCATGTTGTTCCAAACCTGTATAAGGATTGAACACAAAGGACATTTGAAAAAATGTGTTTAACCAAACAGTTGCTGGTCCACTTTTACTCCCATAGTATGGAAAAAAACAACTGTTTGGTGACAAACATTCTTTAAAATATAATCTTTTGGTGTTCAGCAGACAAAAGAAACTCATACGGGTTTGGAACAACTTGAGGGAGCATAAATAATGACAGAATTCTCATTTTTAGGTGAACTATCCCTTTAAGGGTTTAATTGGGCCTGAAATTCTGATTAAGCCCACATTATGTTTTAAAGACTTTATAATTAGGCCTAAATTTAAATTTTAGGAGTGTGTAATTAGGCCTTAGTTTGGCATAGCACACAGAATCGGTTAAGTTTTCGATGCCTTCATTTTACTTCATATTTTAACATTTTTCTTCTTTTACTCTTCCATATCCTTAAATTATTTATGAACAAATATAAAAAAGCGAAATGGACAGATTTCTGTATATTTATTCCAAAAAGTGTACATAATGAATACAGTTCAGTATTTAAATAATACAGTTAGAAATATATATCTAAAACGTTTTGGTTCTTTTTTTGAAATTCTGACAAATATAAAGAAAGTTAGAGAAGTCAATGCTGTTTTCATGGTAATTCTTTGCAGTGCTCGTCACAAACCTTTCTTGCTTATTTGTATCGGTGACATTGTGTCTTGTTCACTGCCTTGCCTCATGTAATTTCAGTCCCGGGACTGAAAGCCAGATATCATACACAAACATTCCTTAATGTAAATTTGCATGGAAGGAAATAAAGCCATTTAGGCAAATAGTGGTAGGATTCCTTTCTCAATGCTTCGTTAGGTCTAGTCAAGTGTATTTCTAGTCAAATCCGAGTTTGATTTGCGGCCATGCTGTTGCTTATTTCATTATAGCAGCAGAGCCATAAGCTCGACATACTTACTATCAACAATACTCTTATACGCGCTCAAAAATTAGCAAAAGTTACTGAGATTTTGACTGGCATTTCCCATGATGACTTTTTGGACTGGCGTGTCCTGTGAAAGATTTGATGTGGCTACCAGGCCTGCAACTATAATGCAAAAATCAGTTTGCAAAAAAATGCCCATGTTAAGTATTAATGTTTACATGTGCAAGATCCTCCCTGATTATTCCTGCATCTTTCCTTTGCTATTCTGTTTTCCTTTAGTGAAAACTTACTGTAAATACATTTGAGTCTTTGGTTTTATGTGTGGACTGTGTTGTATCGATTTATGGTCTTTAAAAAATCTAGGTGATATTAGCAAATATATATATATATATATAAAGAGGATTTAAAGGATGTTCTTTGCCTGCTGTTGTGTATGCCTGCTTGTGAATGAATGTGTCACTTTATTACAGAGCAATATTGAAGAAAATACCTTTTCATGTGTTGCAGATTATTTATCATTCTGTTAACAGAACATTTTCGTAGGAGGGAATGGAAATGTGATTGTTTGAGTAAGTGGTTTAAATCCTAGTCGCAAAGTACTGTTGTAAACCAAAGCAGGCAGATAGACTGACTGTGACGTCTACTGTGGAGCAGGTTTGCTGAAATTCAAAAGCTGGCAAAAAAATGGCAAATGCTGTTCGTTATTTCAAACTGAGAAAAAAAAAATTATAATGATATAGATGTCAGCAGAACCATTGCTACATCCATGAGGCCTGGGACGAGTTGTTTGTAGGTGGGTCCCATTTTGGCCTAATAAGCAGATGATATACAGTAGATAGAGGACCTTAGTGAGCCCCATGCATATCAGAAATGAGAAGATAATGAGTTTGGATCTTTATTAACATCACAGCTCACCATGTAAGGTATCCGCTCGACGTTCAGATCAGTTTATCGTGACTAAGAGTTTGTTCTCCATTTCCTACATTTTTATCTATAATTGTTTTTATTCATGCTTTCCATTGTGATTTTTTTTTCTTCTTCTGATAATCGAGTGTAATGTACAAGGAAAAAACACTAATATGCAGTAGTAAATGTACTGTACTTACAATAAGGGGTTTGGTGTTAGTGTCCAGTGGTGAAATTTACCAAATCAACTGTCTATGTTGTGAAAATGACTGAACTTATAAAAAATAAAAGTTTGTGCTGTTTACTTGGGACTGTGTTGCATTTTTTTGCCTGTTTTTCGGAGTTTGTTTTAGACGCCATATTGAATTTAACGCGGATGGAAACGAGGCTGTGAGGAAAGGTTCTAGATCACGTAATATTAACAACTCACAACTTTTAAAACTGTTTTATGGAGTTTTTTTAGTGAAAGTTTTTTAAAAGACGTTTCGTCAGTTGACAAGTTAACGTTACGTTGCATTGAACGCTCTGTAGTTCTATACGTCACATCCTCGTTTTCATTCCCGTAAAAAGGGCGCTAAAATGTGGCGCTATCCTGACTAAGGTCTATTGGCTTTTCATCGAAAATGAATAACTCTCTATGCGGTTTCATTGACAAAACAACCACAAGAGGGAACTAAAGACTCAAACTATTGGCGTTGGCCTAAAAATAGCAGCACTCCCACTGGAAAATCGTGTTAGGACGAAGGCTGAATCAGCTGTTGTCATGGTAACAGTCAGCTACGTAAGGTCCATGCAAGAAAACGCCACTGATTGGCTGGAAGGAAAAATGCTGAGGGTAATCATATTTCTGAAGTTATGCTGTATTGGTTCGAGCCACAGTTAAAATATATATAAAATTGCAGAGAAAAAAGGTTTATAAAACAATTGACGTCTCTTAGAACCTATTTTTATCCAGTTTTGCAATTGCATACAATTTTGGAACAACTTGAAGGTGACTAAGGGATGACAATTTTCAGTTTTGAATGAATGAACTATCCGTTGTAATGCAGAGATGACTCTCGGCAAGCCATTTTTATGTTGACTTCCCAAAGACAGTCTAAATTTACGTTCAAGAGCGTAGGTTTGGAGATCTGTAAAGACTGAAGTTACCGAAGACTTTACTGAATGTTTAATACATGCAACTTGTTTCCATTTCTTTAGATGTAAAAGAGTGCTCACACAGAAATTCACAGCAATTGCGATATTTAACAAAAAAGATTTATTCACAAGTGCACTATACACAAGTCAAGTTACACCATGGTTGTATTTTAAAGCACAAAAACAAAACAAAAAAACTTAAAACAGCAATGTGAAAACATGCACCAAAATGTGAGACAACAGAAAATAAAAACTATTTGGAGAAAATGGAAGAGCATCTTGACATCCACTTGTCCAAATTAAAATCTTTACAGAAATCCAGGACGCCCATTTCAAATTAAGCTCACTCTTTCTGGTTGATGATCAAACTGAGAAAGTAGATGAGACAGTATGAGAAAAAGTATGCGACAGACTGTAAAAATTCACATGTGTTTTTCCATTAAGGGCTTTTACAACAAACTCAGTGTAAAAAGTTGTTGAGCACAGTTTGATGCACTAACTGAGGCTTGTAAATGAGTCTCTAAAAGAAAATACTCAACCTTATGATGTTAATGTGTGAATGTCAAGAGACCTGAAAAGGTGCTCTCTTGTGTCTAAAGGGAGTAAAACAAACTAACACATGAGGAGATATATCTAGTGTTGGTTTTTGACACCTTGTGGTTTTCCAGGCTTTTTGTCTTGTTGTTGTCCATGGCCAGTTCCCATCATGCCTCTGCCACGGCCACCAAAAACACCTCAAAAGAAAAATAAAAGAAGCATGTCAACTGTGTGTATGCATTTCAAAAACTGTGACTGCAACATTTCATACATTAAAAGAAATTATATAGCAAAAATTATTTATTAATTTTTTACAAGAGCATGCAGCAAAACTTTAAGCGCTGTTCAGACTTTTATTATGAAATCAAGATAAATGTGCGATCATGTGAAAAATTGGTAAACCATGATTATTTTTCATGCAAAGTGTTCAAAAGGCAACATCCATTCTATTTTTTTTTTTACTGAAAATGTTGAAAGTAAGATTTACAAAGCAACATGTCTCCAACATAAACTGTTACATGCAAATGTTTTAAGTTTGTTTGTTTGTTAGAGGTTGAATTTAAATACAATACTGCTCATACTTCTTCTAAATAGTATGTCTACTTCATAGATTGTGTGAAAATATGAAAAAATATTGTTCACGTCCTTATATGGATCACCGACTGACCTTGGCAGACATCTAGTGGAAAAGTTTGGTACTGTGCCCAAACAAAATATTACTAAAAGCTTTTTTTTTTTCTTTTCTTTTCTTTTTTTTTTTTTTGAGATATCAACCTCAAATTTGGAACACAGCTTGTTTAGTTTTATAGCTTTGATTTTCTAGCAGTTTTAGAGTCCAACATATTTTAAAAGATATATTTTACATTAAATATAACATTTCTGTAACTTTCTTCTTTTCTTTGGAAGACTATTGTCAGCTTTCAAACGAGACCATACTTGTCTGTGCTCCAAAGCATTCAAGATTTACAACTTACAAGTTGGGAATGTCATTCTGGAGTCTATGCTCCAAAAGTGGGATTGATACTTAATGGTAGCCATTGACTTCCATAGTATTTTCTTCCATACTACGCAAGCCAATGGCTACCGTCAACTGTTTGGTTACAAACATCCTTCAAAGTATCTTCTTTTGTGCTCAAAAAAAAAAAAAAGACACTCATACAGGTTTAGAACAACTTGAGGGTGAAGAATTTTCATTTTTGGGTGAACTTTCCCTTTAAGTTCACCCATAAATGAAACTTTTGTCACACTATTCCTTTAACAAGGGCTCTGAAATGTGTCTAACCTCTGCCGGCTCCACCACCTCTTCCAGGTCCGCCTCCTCTGCCCTTTCCCTGTGGTTTGTTCTGCTGCATGCCCCCCCGGCCACGTCCCTTCGACAGTACTTCCTCTTTCACCATATCTATGATCTCATCAGGGATTCGTAAGTATTTAATGGTGCTTCCTCTGATGTAGCATTCCGGCATCCTCCAAAATTTATCTCCATCCTGCAAATCAGAGCAGGCAGAAACAACCATTACATTCCAGCACAGACACATTGACCCATAACGGCTCAATCATGTTTATGCGATCAAAATTGTTTCAAATATTCCGAAGAACACTTCATCTCGAGGAAAGAGGTTTTATTTACCCGTGAAGTGCAAATGACTTCTCTCAAGTTGATGTTCATCCAGTTGTCACAGCTGACCAGATGGCCGTTGTACGTCTCACCATTCTTTAACTCCACCAGCTGAAAACAAAAGCAGACTAACTTATTTGTTATTCTACGTGTGGATTATTGTGATATTTTTTATCAGCTGTTTGGACTCTCATTCTGACGGCACCCATTCACTGCAGATGATCCACTGCTGAGCCAGTGATAATGTGAAATTTCTCCAGATCTGTTCTGCAAACTATTCCTTTAACTGTGCGCAGGCGACGTGAGCTGCCTCATACTCACCATCGGGTGGTTCTGTGCTGTCTTCAGTAAAGATAACGGGAGCTAGGAGAGAAGAAGAAATCAAATGAACCAGTAAAGGTGGTGATGCTTACAGTATTTGACATAAAAGCGCATGAAAACTCTCTTTAGTGCTCTGAATGAGGTGTACTCGGGATTACTGAATAAAGATTTTAAAAACACTTACAAAGATTGCACTCAAGAAACACAAGAACAGCAATTAGACTAGAATTAATCATATATTAATAGTATAATTGTTGTCATTCCATTCTCAAATATTGCTTAGTGATGCGAGTAAATATTGTTTAAAATAAAAGTGTTATATTTAGTCCAGAGACTATGTGCTTCTGTTTGGCTGACAATAAAGTGCACTTTGTCGGCACTGGCCAATGAAAGCCCAAAATCTGTTTACTACAAAAGTGCATTGCATGTGTCTGTAGTGATTTGTAACGGGTTTTATTTTTAAATGAAGAAACAATTGGCTTATTAATCTAAAATTCCACGTCTATGTACAAAACACGTTTGTTTAAATACGAAACGTTTACAGAGAAAGCAACTCATACAGGTTTGGAACGACATGAGGGTGAGTACATGATGACAGAATTTTCATTTTTGGGTGAACTATCCCTTTAAGTATATTAGCAATGCAGTCCGGTGTACCGACTAAACATGCTACCTATCAGATTGTGCTACCAAAAATGTATTTGCATTGTTTTAAGGGCAAGTTTAGGTTTAGGGTAGGAGTAGGTATGGACATTTAAAAAAGCCTCAACCCACATGAATAAGATGCTGGTAGCACAATCTGATAGGTAGCATTTTTCGGTATCGATTTGTGCTAACGTTACCTATCTTTTTAATGGGAGGTAGCCACCGGTAACCTGAGCTACAACTTCTCTACTCAACACAGCAACTGAGCTTCAGTTTAACTAGCCTGCGAGTTTATAGACGTCGCTTACCATGTCAGCTGAGCGACTGATCAGTCTTTTTAAATCCCTAATAAAGATTTAATCGACTAAATTCTTAAATCACGAAGGTTTCTTCTGAATCTACTTCGCAACACAAGGTAGTCTACAAAACGTTTACTGTTGTACTTCCAGGTGAAAGCGGAAGTTATCAAAATAAAAGTCCCACTGTTAAACATTTTCTGCCGTTTTTGCATCGTGATATATCTATATATACTAGTCAACATTTGAAGTGGATCAAAACCTTTCATCAAAGTTGTCCTAAAATCTAAAACCAAAATGCGTTCATGTCTTAGGACAACTTTGATGAACTTTTTTGATCCACTTCAAATGTTGACTGACTAACTATCTCTCTCTCTCTCTCTACAGTTTATATATATATATATATATATTATTATTATTCATTTAGGAACACACTCAACGTCGCTCATAAAATGCGGTTTATTTTGGAATACTGATCACAGATATTATTTTATACATTGAATTATAGCACATTTACGTTATTTACACACATCTGAATGTACAATATCAACACTTCAAGAGTCCACTGCTGTCGTTTTTGCGGCTCTTTTTTTGTTCCGTTTCTTTTTTTTTCTTCTGATCTTTTCTTGTTCGTTTCTCCTTTTTTCTTCCAAATCTGGATCCTGGAAGGTGTGCGGTCAAAAAAACAAGTAAATAAAATAAAATAGTAATAATAATAAATTAAATAAAAATAATGCGTTTTATTATTATAATATACAGTATACACCACATAGCACATCATAAAATCCTGATTTTTTTCCTGATAGTCTATAACCTTTTCTGACAGTGTAATACAGGTGCATCTCAATAAATTAGAATGTCGTGGAAAAGTTCAATTTGTTGTGAATTGGTGGGTTTTTGTTAAATGTGAGCCAAAATCATCACAATTAAAAGAACCAAAGACTTAAACTACTTCAGTCTGTGTGCATTGAATTTATTTAATACACGAGTTTCACAATTTGAGTTGAATTACTGAAATAAATGAACTTTTCCACGACATTCTAATTTATTGAGATGCACCTGTATGTTTAAATCATGCATTTACAATAAAACGACTCACTTTTCCCTCCAGAATCATTTGCTTCCTTTTGTTTATCTTCTTTTTCTCATCAAAATCAGTGGATTCCAGTCTCTGTAACAGAATTAACAAATGTAAGATTTTGCCAGCGTGTTATATATAAAATATATATACATATTTGTACACTGAAAAAGTCTTCTCTCACAATTTCACACTGTCGTCTTGTTACATTGACTTGCGTGAGGATCTTCCAACACCTCTTTCTCTTCAACAGCAAACGCTTTTAGTTTCGCCTCTAAACACACAAAACAGTATTCAAGCGAAAGTACACTTACAGCAAGAAATTTCGTAAAAGCATTTACGGTGCTTTTATCACAATACAGAATATAATTAGATTTAAAAGTGCCCTTTTTAGGATTTAGGTTTGAACTTACGGATCTGTTCCTCAATGGCATTGATGAGATGGATGTCATACTGTGTGACTAGTGTGATTGCTACACCATTTCGGCCTTGACAAAACAAAAAGGACATCATAAAACAGTTCTGAATGTGGATTTGACAATTTAGTGTTCCAGCCTACTAGTGACATTTATGAAGTGAAAACAGGACTGCATAATTGATCAAAAAAATACTATTTTAACAGTAATACGAATACTAACGAAACCTCTCTTGTTTCTTACAGCTAACTCTTCATACCTCACTGTTAACAGAGCTCTAAACTCACCAGCTCGAGCGGTTCGTCCCACTCGGTGGATGTAGATTTTTGGCAAACCCGGTGTGTTGTGATTGATAACAACGTGCACCGTAGGAATATCCAAACCCCTTTAGACAAGAACAGATACATGAAAGTGGAGAGAATTAGACAATGGCAAAGAGATGGCGAAGAGAAGTGTTTTCTCTGTACCTTGCAGCAACATCTGTGGCTATGAGAATTTTAAAGACGTTAGACTTGAACTTTGCAAGGTTGGCAAAACGCTGTCTCTGAAGATGGAAGAGCATAAAAACCATTAGTATAGACATTAGGCGCTGAGTGAGAATCAATTTTAACTATGTAGCATGTCACTTACCTGCTTCATCATTGAGTGCAGGGAGATGGTTGGGAAATTGAATTGGCGCAGCATCATTGATAGTATCTGACAGTTCCTGGAACATTCGTAAACGTTACACAATTACGTTAACAATATCTGTAATATATTTTTACATATTCATATGAAAATGTTGTTGTGAGATACATGAATATTTCTAAAAACAGCATCGTTTTTTTGTAAGGGAACAAATTGTAGCAAGTGTTTTCAGACTCAAAATACACAATTTTTTTTTATTTACAATTATTTTCTAAGAGATATTAACCATTAAAAAGGGTACATGGATGGAGTACCATTAGGTCTCCAAAATAATGTTAAATTATCTATGAAATTAAATTAGTGTAAAAAAAAAAAAAAACTCTTGTAAAACATATTTAGCCTTTTCCCCATATCTCACACGATTTTGGGAATGAATTTCGTTACATTTCTTACACCTACTGACAAACCGTCACGTTATGAAAAATGAATCACTTTTTTCATCTGAAACTGAACATTTAAGCAAGTAAAATAAATGTATTTTGTTTGAAAACTTTTCGGAGTAATTGTTTTTGTTCGAAATAAATATGTAGGTTTCATCATTTTGGACTGTTTTTGAGCAACCCTGAGTTATAAAGACATGGAATTTTATTAAATTCCATTCATTCCAATGGGGTTAATACTGGTAATTCCCAGATTATAGGTTCTTATAAATTTAACACAATGATATATTCAAATAATCTCATCATTATTGAACATGGTAATAACATAAATAAAAAAAAATTCACATTCACTCATTAATGAGAAGCTGCTAATAAGCTGAAAAATGATCCTTCTGGTCCAAATGGACCTGGAATGCAAAAATCGTATACAGATTTTGAATGCAGTATGAGGGTTAACGTAACTCTATGGGATTTGTCCGTTACGTCATTTAGTGAACAAGCTGCCTAATTTGAGTTATCATTAATGCCCACTGCACACGCAGTGAATGATGGAAGGGTTATAAAAGGGATTTGTCTTAATTAGAATTTATTAACCCTGCAATGTTTTTTCTGAAACTGAAAACCTACTTGCATGTGTTAGTGAATATCATGATAGACCAATCATCATGTTCATCCTGGAACTTTTGGATGAGATGGACCAGGTAAGCATCTTTGACTTTCTCAGGAGTGAGGATGAATCTCTGATCCAGTTCTTCGACCGTCTGCACTCTGACAGAAAGAGAGAGAGCCATGTGACATAAAAATAATATTAGGCCTTTGTCAAAACAGCTTTCATGTCTATGATAGGGTGGTGGATTCTGATTGGCTGTCAATATTTTTTTTATCATTCATCAGCTGAAATAAATCACTCTGAAAGTGATTCCAATGATACTGTTCTTCTGTGTCATTATTGTTATAGTAGTGGAATTAACATTCCTATAGAATTCTCACAGAATTAGAATGATTTTTAAAACATTATCATTGTATTTATTGTCCCTGCTGTGAACAGGCCTTTACTCCGAATTTTGAGAACAGCCAAAGTAATTGCATACATACATACAATTAACACTTTTATTCAGCAAGGATGCTTTTACTATACATTTACATTACAAAATGGAATGTCAGTGTCCCTACTGCACATTTAGTTGAATGTCTGTCAACTAATAAATGTGCAATGCATTACGTCACATTGCATGCTTGAAGTGTGCAACAGGAAGAAATCTTGTTTTCTACTAGAGATGTGTGCTACGACTAATTTCATTAACATTTCAAAAGACAAGTCTAACAAACCCCCAGAAGACACTCATCTGTATGTCATCCATTTGAAATACACTTTGCCTAATCATATCAAGCTTATATTTATATAATTACAGCTACCAGTTGTATATGCCAGAGCTGAATTTCTGGCCTAAAAATCACAATTTCTGTCAAGGAAGCATATTCGACATATTCTCCAGACTTACTCTGATTTGTGCTCCCAGAAGAAGGGTCTGTTCAAGGCGATGCCCTGCAGCTGCTGCAGCGTGTCCGTGAGCGTGGCGCTGAACAGCAGCGTCTGGCGTTTTGCGGGCACAGCACTGAGGATGACCTCTAGATCTTTAGTGAAATCTGTGCAGCCTTGCTCTAAAAGACGGTCGGCTTCATCCAGGATCTGCCGAGAAACATGCAAGAGTTTGATGAAAATTGCTTTAAAATAAACATTAGAAAAAACATGCATCAGAGTCTTACTAGAAACTGGATTCTGTTCAGGCTAATTGTGTCAGAGCTTCGGATGTGATCAGCAAGTCGTCCCGGTGTGGCCACAACAACATGTGGCTTTTTTGACAACTCCAAGCCCTGAGTGACCATGTCTAATGAAAGAAAAAGAAACAAATAAAGCGTGTTTCCTAATAAATATGCATTCTAATCTTAAATATGCATATATATTCTTATAAATAAATGAGCCCTAAATGATGACCGAGTAAAGCTTTGAATGTTATCTTACCCATTCCTCCCACAATGATACAATCTTTTAAGCCTAGTGGCTTCCCTAACGCTCGGAACTGTTCTGCGATCTGGTAAGCAAGCTCTCTGGACAAAAAACAGACAAAAACATCATTTTGAAATATCTACATGAAAATGAAGATTCAAATGTGGCTTTATAAATAATAAAAAAAGTAAACCTTGTGGGTGTTAACACCAAACAGAAAACACCATAAGGGTCCTCAGACAACTTCTGCAGCACTGGGAGAACAAATGCTGCCGTTTTTCCACTTCCAGTTTTTGCACAGCCCATGCAATCCCGACCTGTGTGAATGGCAGCAATATGTATATATTAGGGATATGCCGGTATCAAATTTTCATGTTGCGATTAATTGATCACATATACAATGTTCTGATGACAGGTGACAGTACAATCACAATTTACACAACATTTAACTTCATCAGTCAGTCACATTACTAGTTTAAAGTGTCTAAATAGAGTATTGTTTACGCATTCTGAGTCAACTTTCATGTAAACAAATTTTTACATCGAGGTCTATAAAAGAAAGTAAAAATCCTAACTTTTTTCTTATAACAAAAATAACTGAACATTTAAATACAATAAAGAACACACAAAAAAAATGTATAAAGGTATCACTATAGGTATAGGTATATAATAGGTATCACTTTAAGACCTCATTAGTTAACCTTAGTTAATGCATTAACATTCACAACGAGCAATAGCTACATTTGCTACAGAAGTTATTAATCTTTGTAAAAATAAAACAAAAATACAACCCTTAGTTCATGTTAGCTCATTAAATAACACAGTTGCAATTTTTGATTTTAACAATGCGTTATTAAATATTAGAATGACCTAAATGAGTCAACTTTCATGTAAACAAATTTTTACATCGAGGTCTATAAAAGAAAGTAAAAATCCATCATAATACAGATGCATCTGGTACATATATATACATATATACACACATATATACATACATATATATACACATACATATATACATACATATACATACATATATACATACATATACATACATATATATATATATATATTATTCATTAATGAGATTGCTCTGTCTCACATCAACATGATCACAATACATGTTAACTTTTGCGACCAGAAGCACAACAGTCTCATTCAAAATAAATAACTCTTTATTTTGTACTATTTACTATTAATCACTCATTGATTTAAAAAAGCGAATGAGCTTTGTATATATATAACATAATGGAATAATAATAATAATAATAGTTATTATTACTTATGTAGTAGTTTATTTAAAAAGGCAATATTAAGACAATATGAAACAGACAATATTAAACAGTAATAAATACTTTTTTTTTTACGTTTCATTGTCATGCCACCCACTGAGTAAAATAACTTACATATGCTCTCGTATCCGGCAAAAAAAGTGTTTAAATGTGATACTAAAATAAATATCTATGCAAAGCCTATTTATGAAAGTGAAATTGTCATTTTATTAGTTTTACTGTGATTATGTAAAGCAGATATAGATCTTTACCTTCCGATATGGCAGGAATGCATTTCTCCTGAACTGGGGTCGGTCGGCTGATTCCCATCTGCTTACACTGCTGGATCAACCACTCAGACAGGCCAAGAGACTCAAAAGTGGCCATTTTCCACCGGGCTATTTAAAAACCAAATATCCAAAACATAAATCAGTGTATTAATGTTGCTTTGAGTGCCGTTAAACGTCCGTTTAAGGTTGATAACAAAACCCTCGTGCGAACCTTTGACGGCCGCGTGAATTAGACGTCATGTGATGACGTGCGGAAAAGGGAAAAGACCACGCCCCTTACATATATATATACACACACACATATATATATATATAGTCAAGAGCTGCGCTTTTTGAGGTTATATATGATATAAAACACTGCGGCTAACCAGCCTGGCTACTTTATTCCCTACATATAAACATCTGTAGATTATTACATGTGCTTTGTTCTGATTAGTTGTTTCATTTGGGGGCAGACGTAATGAGAAGGAGCCGGTGACCGTGAGTAAAGCGAACTTCAAATCATTTGGCAGTTTATACGGTAGAAATGAAAGCAATACTTTCGGCATTGCAGTGGGTAGAGGAACATAAACCTTGTTCTGATTCAGTTTCAGTCTTAAAGAGTTTGAGATCTTTTAAATATAGGCACCAAGATATTTTATTTAGCATCTTACAAATACATTGAATTGTTAAAAATGATACAGTTTTGTATGGGTCCTGGCACACATAGGAACAAAGGGGAAATGAGGAAGTGGATAAATTAGCAAAACAAACTTTACAGAGAGAGACAATAGAGATACAAGTTCCATTAAGTAAATCAGAGATTAAGGTTTTAATATGGAGTTAGTGACTGAAGAATGGCAAGTAAAGTGGAACAATGGGGAAAATGGTAGTAAATCAAAATCTAAAGTTTATAGGTAAATCAAGGAAAGAAGAACTTATTTATGACAGAATAATGTTAGGGCATTCAAATTTAAATAGCACACTTAAAATAATAGGGAGACCTTGTGTACTAGAACTAGAAAGGGGAAAAAATGAAAGAAGAAATAAAGAAAAATGGAATTCAAGAATTAAGGTTTTAATAAAATGGTCAGTTGAAACAACTAGTAAAGTCTTTGATTTTTTTTTTGAGAGACGGGACTGATAAATAGAATTAGTGCTGTCAAATTATAATTTTTATAATAATAATAAGTATCGCTTTTTATTTCTCCTCTTTCCTATTGTTTCCTAATTGTTTTTAGCTTTTTTTTTTTTTTTCATTTAAATGTTAAGTTTTGAAATTTTGTTGTGTGCATTTGTCATTTTTATTTAATTTCTTTATTTTTAAAATGTGTATAAGTAGTATTTATAAAGTTTTAGCTTTTAGTTTTGGATCTGTTTTTAGTTGTTTTAATACTACAATTGATTGCTTCTGTTGTCCTCATTTGTAAGTCGCTTTTAAAGCGTCTGCTAAATGACTAAATAAATAATTATAATAAATAAATGATTAATCGCGATTAATCGTATTTAAAATAAAGTTTTTGTTTGCATAATATAAGTGTGTGTGTACTGTGTATATTTGTCAGTACACACACATATATTATGTAAACAAAAACTTTTATTTTGAATGTGATTAATCGTGATTAATCGTTTGACAGCACTAAATAGAATATAAAACGCTGTTCCACACCCAGAAGGTGGCGGTGGACGTTCCGTAAGTGTCGTAAGTGGTCGGAGCTCGACTTGTGACGATCTCGCCGAAGCGGACTGAGCGTGGATCAGTGAGCGTGGTGGCTGGTTTTTGTTTGTTCGACGAAAGCACAAAGCAGTTTAGGACTTTAACAGGAAATTTTTGGAAACGGATCATCATATTTATCGGAAAGTACAGGCGGTTGAGCACGACTGCTCCGTGAATGGATTGGAGGTAGGTAGGTGGGGGGAAATGGATTATAATGAAGATATGTACGAAGGAAGTGGAGGGGAAAGGAGGGGTCGGTTGAGTGATAAAAGGAATAAAAGAGTAAGAAGTGACAAGGGAGAGGAGTCTGAAAATGATGATGACAGAGGGGAAACTTTTCAGAAAGAAATAAAGGAGAAGTATGAGGTCGTAATTAGGTTCAATGGAAAGAGTCAGGAGATCATGAAGAAAGTCAGCCCATTTGTGTTAACCACAACTCTGGCAAATAAAATAGGGGAGATAGAGTTCGCGAAAATCCTTAATGATGGTAACTTACTGGTTAGATGTGCCGATGCAGGGCAAATGGAGAAAGCTCTAAAAATGAAGGAAATCGCAAAATGTAAGGTGGAAAGTATGGAAAGGGTGGGAATAAGAACAAAAAGTGGAACGATAGGAGTGATTACAGGGGTATCAATGAGTGTAACAGTGGAGGAAATAAAGAGGAATATCAAGGGAGCAAAAGTTGTAAATGTTCAAAGAATGAAATCAACAAGGGATGGAGTGGTAAAGGACAGTGAAACAGTGCTAATAGAGTTCGAAGAAGAGATAGTGCCGGGATAAAGGTGGGAGAATGGGTGATTTAGTCTGTAAACCTATTTTCTGATCCACACTCCGGAGCAGAAGGTGGCGGTAATGCACCAGTACGCTGGATGCCAACCGCCGTAAAAATATAAGAAGAAGAAGAAGAAGAAGAAGGTGGCGGTAGTGCACCAATTCACGTTGGTTGCCAGCCGCCGTTAAAAACCAAGAAGAAGAAGATCGCGCAGAGAGGGTGAGAGGCGCGCGCAGGTAAGCTCGAGCTGAGCTCTGTCAGCAGCACCTGGACTGTCCTCGACTACAGGCCGTACAGTATTAATGGGCTAGAAATCATTACTTTCCTTTCTAATGCTCTCACTGTCTCGTAGCCATCTATGCACTCGAAACTGTAAGTGTGATGTTGGTTGTTTGTTTATTTGTCACTGCCGCGTCTTGTATTTCGTATTTTATTAAGATTGAGCATGATTAGCGGTAATTTGGGCTTCTACACATGATGACCTTCCTCATCCTCATCCTCGCTGAGCATGGCGGAGTCGGATGGTGTGGAGTTCTGTGCGAGTCGAGCTCAAAGCAGGTAGGAATGCATGTAGCATCAGATGTTGCATGCATAGGGTTGTCCTAAAATGCAACAGGGTTAAGAGATAAAAATACGAAAGAAAACAACAAATATTTGTTTTATTCTGCAGTCTTGCTGTCTACAGTATTATTATTATTATAAAGGTGCACACAGTAATAATTTGTTAAAGTGTACCCCAGCATTAGATGAAGGCTCTAGATCGTTTTTCTAGAAAATCTGGTTTTGTTCTGCATTTAGAGGGTCTTCCTATCATGGCCAGCTGTGTAACAATGCCCTTTTATCTGTATCATTTTAGAGATTTTTTGCATTTATTAATAATGGTTAATGTTGGATATGTACAGTAGTTGTGCATACTTCTTTGCCCTATATTTACGTCTAGATCACCTACACCCCTCATTTAAAATGAACCTTTGAAAAACTAATAATTTATTAACACTGTTTAATGTAGTATCTATTATTCATGCTGTACAGCATAATATTGTGAGGTCAAAAATTCACATTAAGTTTATTGATTTCTGTTACAGGGCCAGATTTAACAGTGCAAACCCTCTTTTGGTGTTAAAAACTATACTGCCAGGATTTACTAAAGACACACGGGGAAAATTTAAGCCATGGACAGTGGAAAAGCCAGTTATTTTTGCAGCTGTCCTTATTGCATATATACTTAGTAGGAGTTTCCATTTCAGACACAAAACCTATGGAAGGAAAGTATTTAAATAAATGAGATTTACTAAGGTTTACGTTAGTCAGTTTACTAGCATTTGCACCATTATTGCACACAAAAAAAAGCATTTCTTCTTTTCAAATCTAGCACAGAGCAGGAACATATACAACAGTCACAGCCGCTGCACTGTGAAATTCCACTGTTAGTATAAGAGTCCGCTAAATGTACACAGAAACATACCGAGTGCACCTTTCAAAATGTTTATAAGAACCTTTTTACCCTCACATACTTTCTGGTGTCTGGTAGAATTCAGGGCCCAAAAAGCATAATTAACAACATGAGGGCTTAATCTTTGCTTTTTTTCCCAAGGAGCACATGTTCTCCTAGATTGAAAAATTAAGGAGTGCATAAACAACTTTAGAGGTGCAATGAGAATTGATGAAATAATGTGACGTTACACTGTTTGTGAAATGTGTATGCTTTACTTTTGCCAGCTGCTCATTCAGAAGGATAAGGGCGATACAAATAAGCACTCTTACAACCATCTACAGTCTATTACAATATAAACACCATAAAGTAAACATTGCTTAGGATCTACTGATGATTATTTATGACAATCTGTTTGCATAAATGCTCTGAAACTGAGCCCATTGAATGCGCAACAGCACTGCATTTGGACATTGCTCACATTTATTTATTGAAATTATCGCCTGTATCCTGTTTTTCCATCCCAAATTTAAGACATCTTTAAGAATTCATTTGTGACCCTGGACCACAAAAGCAGTCATAAGTAGCACGGGTACATGTGTAGCAATAGCCAAAAATATATTGTATGGGTCAAAATTATTTATTTTTCTTTTATGCCAAAAATCATTAGGATATTAAGTAAAGATCATGTTCCATGAAGATATTTTGTAAATTATCAAAACTTAATTATTGATTAGTAATATGCATTGCTAAGGACTTTGGTTGGACAACTTTAAAGATGATTTTCTCAATACTTAGATTTTTTTTGCACCCTCAGATTCCAGATTTTCAAATAGTTGTATCTTTGCCAAATATTGTGCGATCCTAACAAACCATACATCAATGGAAAGCTTATTTATTTAGCTTTCAGATGATGTATAAAATTTAAAAATTGACGCTTATGACTGGTTTTGTGGTCCAGGGTCACATTTAAGGTTTTTATGACCCTAAAACTGATGCTCTCATGAGAACACATAAAATTTAAATTTGACAACATTGTTTAAATGTTTTTAAATAAAAACTGTGTCCCAAATATGAAACATGAATACATGCAGTAATTTGTGACATGCTAGCATTTTTATTATACTGTATTTTTATTTAAAATTATGCAGTTTTTCTGGGGCCAGATTGATCCAAAACAGAAAAAAATTAGACTAGGATTAGTCACATTTCTGAAAAGTACATGCCTACTTTTTATTACAAGGTTGAAAAATTCTTCATCTAAATTAAGGCAGATAATTTAGTTGGCTATAAAAGTACCAGAATTTGTGTATATATATAGCATTGGAACATCTAGGAACCCAAACATTGATGTATGCAGAGTCTGTCTCAACAGAACATGAGGTTTAGGATCAATGACAAATTAACTTGTGTTTAACATATGCACTGTCATCACAAGAACCATTTGACGTTGGTAATTGTTTGGGTCACTTAATGCTTGATATTTGTGAGGCTTAGGTGTTCTGTAGCCAAATAGGCTCTTTATCCATTCTGTTAAATAATTTAAAAGTAGGTGCCATTACAGGGATCATGTTGATGCACCAGTATAGAAACCTAGACCTATCGGTGAAGCGTCAGGATACAGCAGATTCATCAAGCTACTTCTGAAGTTCCGTTGACTCTGTAGCCAGAGACAATGATCAGGGAGTGGTGAGAGATAAATTGATTCTCTCTTTCTTCCAGCATGGCTAACAACAAGAATAGCACGCTCCGTTGTACTTTCTCGGCCCCCAGCCACAGCAACACTCTCCTGAGGGGACTGTCTGTGCTGCGCGATCAAGGTCAGTTGCTGGATGTGGTTCTGGCCATTGACAACGAGCGGTTTGAGGTTCACAAAGCGGTTTTGGCCTCCTGCAGTGACTACTTTAG